TACAATTAAAGTAATCATCCGATGAATTGCTATGCATCAGTCAAATGCATGGGCAGATGCTGTGTGGTGCTGCTGCTCTTGAGTGCTCTTTGGCAACAAGGCAGTGATGCATGGTTATATGCCTCCTAAGAATATTTACTGCATGCTGGAATTTGATAGGGGGAGTCATATAAATAGTGACCAAAATATTTTCTTCTTAAAAAAAGAATGTTTTTGTTGATGTCAAAGAGAAGGAGGGAGAGCGAGAGATAGAAACATCAATGAGGAGAATCATTGATCTGCTGCCTCCTGCTGCCACCTACTGGGGATCCAGCCTGCAACCTGGGCATGTGTCCTGACTGGGAATGGAATCATGACTTCCTGATTCATGGGTTGATCGATGTTCAACCACTGAGCAACACTGGCTGGGCCCAAATATTTTCAATAATCATTTTTTTTTTAAACAACAGAAATTTATTTTCTCATGGTTTTGGAGGCTGGGAGTCCAGGACTAGTTGCTAGCCAATTTGGTTTTGGGGGAGAGCTCGCTCTCTGTGGCTGGCAGATGACTGCCTTCTCCCTGTGTCCTCACAGGATGGAGATTGATAAATTTTTATTTATTTTTATTTATTTATTTTTATTTTTTTTTAATATATTTTATTGATTTTTTACAGAGAGGAAGGGAGAGAGATAGAGAGCTAGAAACATCGATGAGAGAGAAACGTCGATCAGCTGCCTCCTGCACACTCCCCACTGGGGATGTGCCTGCAACCCAGGTACATGCTCTTGACCGGAATCGAACCCGGGACCTTTCAGTCCGCAAGCCGACGCTCTATCCACCGAGCCAAACCGGTTTCGGCGAGATTGATAAATTTTTAAAAAAATCTTTATTTTTGGAAGTATTGCATAAGCCCCCCCTTCCCCCCCTAGTGACCTCTTCTAGCCCGCCTCCACATCCTGCCCCTTAAATACACTTTTTAAAAGAGCATTTTAAGGTTTACAGAAGGTTTTGCAGAAAGTATAAAGAGTTCCTATATATCTTCCATCCCCTCTGGCTCCCAGTTTCCCCTATTATTATCTTTGCCTTTTCCAGATAGATGTCATATAATCGGTATTGTACAGTGTGTAGACTGGCTTCTTTTGTTTAACATTATGCATTTAAGGTTCCTGCATGTCTTTTTGTGGCTTGATAGCTTATCTGTTTTTATTGCTGAACAATATTCCATTTCATGGGTAGAACACTGTTTATTTATCATTCACTTATCGAAGGACATCTTGGATGTTTCCAATTTTTGACAATTATTAATAAAGCTGTAATAAACATTTGTGTGCAGGTTTTTGTGTGGACATAGTTTTCAACTCATTTGGCTTAATATCTACGAGCACAATTACTGGATTGTATGGTATGTTTAGCTTTGTAAGAAACCATCAAACTCTCTTCCAAAGTGGCTGTGCCATTTTAATTCCCACCAGCACCGAGTGGGAGCTCCCGTTGCTCCCCATCATCGCCAGCATTTGGTGTTGTCAGTGTTTTGGATTTTAGCAACTTAATAGGTGTGCAGCAGTATCTCAAAATAGTTAATTTTGAAATTCCCTAATGAGAATCTTTTCATATGTTTTTTTCAGATTTCTTGCCTAATTTTAAATTGGATTATTTGTTTTATTGTTTTGAGTTTTAAAAGTTTTTCCCCCTATATTTTGGATACAAGTCCTTTGTCTGATATGTGCTTTGCAAATATTTTCTCCCAGTCTGTGACTTGTCTTCTTATTCTCTTAAGTAGACACTTAAGACATTTCACCGAGCAGAAATTTTTAATTTTAATGAAATCTAACTTATAGTGCTTTTGGTGTTATAGCTAAACAGTCATCAGCAAACTTAAGGTTATCTAGATTTTCTCCTGTGTCATCTTCTAGAAGTTTTATGTTGTTAATCCTTACCTGAGGAGACTTTTTCATTGATTTTTAGATAGAGTGGAAGGGAGGGAGGTAAGGGAGAGAGAGAGAAACATTGATGTGAAAGAGACACATCAATTGGTTGCCTCCCACATGTACCTTGACCAGGGCTGGGGATCAAACCTGCAACCCAGGTAAGTGCCCTTGACTGGGAATCAAACCCACAACCCTTTGGTGTGTGGGCTGGAGTTCTAACCACTGAGCATACCAGTGAGGGCAAGTAGTCCAGTTTTAAACTTATCTCTTGAATTTATTATTTGAATTCCTCTTGCTACACACACACACACACACACACACACACACACACACACACACATACACACGTATGTATAACACTGGCCACCTTTTTTGATGAATATTCCAATATGTGGTAATTTACCTAGCTGTTTTTTTTTCATGTATGCCAGAGCCCATATCTTTAACATTTTTAAAAATCCTCATCCGAGGACATCCTTTTATTGATTTTTATAGAGAGAGAAAGGGAGAGGGAGAGAGAGAAAGAAAACATCAATGTGAGAATGAAACATCAATCTGTTGCTTCCTGCTCATGCCCCAACAGGGGATCAAACCAGAAACCTGGGTATGTGCCCTGACTGAAATCAAATCCACAACCTTTTAGTGGATTATATGATTCTGCAACCAACTGAGTGACACCCACCAGGGTCAGAGTTCATCTATAATAATAAAAGCGTAATATGCTAATTAGACCGGACATCCTTCCGGACAAAGCCGTGGTGACAGGGCCGAGCCCCTTGCATGAATTTCGTGCATCAGGCCTCTAGTATATTTATACTACCTGAATCTCAGACTTCATTTTAAACCAGGCCTGATAACCAATTCCAGATTCTTCTCATTTCTTCACTATGGTGATCTTTGTTCTTTTTCCAATTGTTCTTGTTGGATTATTCTGCTTCCTTGAAATTTGAGATAACAATTTTGGGATATTGAGCATGAGTCTTTTGTGGCCAAAAGTCACTATAATGAAGATAGGCAAGTAGCTAGCCTTGAAAGAAAAGCTTGGACTGTGTTGAGTGTTGCCTTTTCTTTGATCTCTAGCTGTCTTGGATCTGCTCTTTGGATGGGGAGAGATGGTTCAACCCATTTCAGTTTTCAAACTGGAGTGGGACAATCACATCACTGCCACCTCATCTGTGCATATAGAGATTTACAGATTACAGACTATAACCTGGTCCCCTCCACTGATGTTGTCTTATCCCAGCTTCTCAGACACCTGTGAGATGGGCCAAACAAAGGTAGATGTGCTCATCTTTGAAGTTAAGGAAATACATGAAAAAGACATGTGCCCAGGATCCCCAGGGTTGGCCAGTAGCTGGGTCAAGAATCAAATCCACATCTTCCCAGACCTCCATACGGACCTCCCTGTTAGGAACGGCTGTGATATTCGCAGGCCCAGTGCAAGAGTACACAGGGATGCCCACATACTCTTGTCTAACTCTTTGAAAGCAACAGTCAATCTATCAAGTTGATCGATGTGTTAAAGAAACTATACTCTATGCTCCAGTTTTGACAAATTGTCACAGCTTGGGTCTCCAGGAGCAGACACTGAGACTGCGTTTGGCCTGAAGGGTGTTTACTAGTGATCAACACAGAGAGGAAGGAGGAACAGGCAGAGGGAGAAGTCCAGCTGCAATGCAGGCCCCACCAAGCCTCAGCCAACCCCACAGGGTGGCCTAGGGCATGTACTGGTATGGCCCATCAGAAGATACCAAGTTAGGTGTAAGGGCTGGTTCCCCCCTCCCCAGCCTGAGGGCAGGGTGAGCCTTTGGATGAGGAGTTCTGTATAGCTGTAGCAAGAGCTGACAGCTGAGCAACAAGTCCTCCCTCTAACTCGTTAATAATGACCTTTTCGGCGCAGGAAAGGGCAGCAGGGCGAGGGGCCCTCCTTCTTTTCCTATTCCCAGCCTTCCTGGTCTCCTCACCCAACCTCCATCCACCTGCCTCCACAGCCACCCCTTGGGCCCATGGGCAACACCACACAGGGGGTTGATCCACGTGGGGAAGATGCAGGGGCAGGAGTTCCCCAACACCCTGGAGGCAGGCAGGGAATTCCAGGGTCCTCAGTACCCAGAGATGGGTCTAAAATGGGATGGGGCACTGGGAGTAGGTGAGAAGTCCCCGAATGGGGTGGCGCAGGTTAGGGACCACCTTGTTCAGGTCTAAGGTACTGCTACCAAAGAGCACACTGAAAATGCTGGGAACCATGAACATGAGAAATTGCTTAAGGAAGACTCTGAATTTCTCAGAGAATGAGATAGACTCCAGTTAATATTTTTAAAAATACTTTTTATTGATTTCAGAGTGGAAGGGGGAGGGAGAGAGAGATAGAAACATCAATGATGAGAGAGAATCATTGACGGGCTGCCTCCAGCACGCCCCATACTGGCGATGGACCCCACAACCTGGGCATGTGCCCTGACCGGGAATCAAACCCACATCTCCTACTTCATAGGTCAGTGCTCACACCGGCCGGGCTCAAGTTAATATTAAATAAAATAAAGGCTTAGAATTACTCGTATCCTCATGCGTACCAGAGATTGTACGAGTAATGTATTCCTGGTGTCGCTGTGCCAGCACTTCATGGCACTCTCGGGGATTCGTTCTTGGTCCAACAATCCTCTCCCGTGGTGGAATCCTCCCTTTGGGTGTAGGTTAGGGTCACCCTCCATCCCTCCGTCAGTAGCCAGGTGCCTGGGGCCCAGCAGAGCCGGCACTGGCAGCGCAGCGAGTGGGGGAGCCGGGGCAGGAGGAGCGCTACCGGGAGCCGGAGCTAACGCAGCGGAGCGGGAGGAGGTGGCCGGGCCCAGCCTGACGCAGCGGCGACGGGAGCAGGCCACTGCGGGGCGCCCGGGCCCCCAGTCCCTCCGCTTTCTCCCGGGGCTGGGGCGCGGGAGTGAGTGCAGCGTAAGCTTGCTGGGGTCACGGACGGGGAGCCGAGGCCGAGGGAGGCACAGGACCGCGCACTCGGTGGAGGAGGCGGGGGAAGGAGGGGCGAGGCGCGGGAGGGGAGGAAGCTGAGAGAGCGGAGGGGGAGGAGGAGGGAGGGACCCGCCTGCTGCGCTCGGCAGCCCGGCAAGTGTGGCTGCAGGCGCCTGTCGCCACTGCTGTCCCGGGGCTGAGTGGCATCCAGGTGCCCAGGACCGTGCGTGCTCCAGCGCGTGCGTTACCGAGGGTGAGCGCCGAGCCGGCCCCAGCCTCCAGCTCGCTCCCCCGGGCCGCGGTGCATGTTCGCCTCCTGCCACTGTGTGCCGAGAGGCAGGAGGACCATGAAAATGATCCACTTTCGGAGCTCCAGCACCAAATCACTCAGCCAGGAGATGAAATGCACCATCCGGCTGCTGGACGACTCGGAGATCTCCTGCCACATCCAGGTGCGGGAGGCGCTGGGCGAGGGAAGCGGGCGCGCCTGGGCAGGGGAGGGTGGGGGGGGGGCTCTGCGGGTGGGCGTGCGCCGTCAGGGCTGAGGAACCCACCCCAGGGCCTTGCTAGAAAGCCAGATTTCCTTTCCTGTCTTCTGAGGCTGGCAGCCCTACCCAGCGATGGGGGCACTGCCCCTGGCAGGCGCCAGGCAGAACGTTATCTGCGCCCAAGCCCCTCCTGGCATGCAGGCTTCGCACGCGTCTGGCTGCGCCCAGGCTGGAGACACCTCCTGGAGGACTGTAGCCCCTCTGTCGCCTATCCCACGAGGAAATTGGAGTTCTGAGACCGAGAGGGGCACCTTTAGGTCGCCCACTCTTCCTTCCTCCTTTCCTCCACGTGGAGAAGGCATGCACTAGCCTGGGTCCACTCTTTTTTCTTTACGGCACCGGCTCCAAAGATTCCATCAGACCCAACCACCCGCCCATCACCTTTACTTCTCTACAGCGTGTGTGTGTGTGTGTGTGTGTGTGTGTGTGTGTGTGTGTGTGTGTGTGTGACTGCGAAGTTTCCCCGGAGGGAGCGAGGCTGGGCAACCCCGGGCTCCAGCCTTGAGGGATGGGGCGCGCCCTGCGTGGAACTGGAGCTACCTCGAAAGGAACCGTGTGAAATCTGAGTGTTTCAGAGAAAGGAAAAGGGCTGTGAGGCCAGTAGAGTTGAATTGAGCTGAGCTCAGGGCTCAGGGATTTCAGCAGGACCCGGGCCCAGGGAAAAAGCACCCCTTGAAGTATTATCGGTGGACATTCGCTCTTGCCCAAGTTGGAGAGAGTGAGTTGTTTGGGGGAAGGCAGCTTTGCTGGCAGCTCCATCCTCCCATAATAAGTGCCTTTGGGTTTGCAGGAGAGCTGTTATGAGCTGCAAGGGTGTGTGTGTGTGTGTGTGTGTGTACTGTTAATGTGTGTATATGTAGGCAGGTGTGTGCCCTCTCCCACGACCCAGGGTGTACAATTTGGAAAGGTCGTGTTAGGGCTCAGCACTATTTGCTTCTGACTTTAAAATCTATTTACCCCGGGATTTCCTTTTCTCACCGACTGGGTCTTCAGTGAAGCTCAGGACTGAACTTCAGGTACTGGGCACCCTCTGCAGTTCTGGTGAAAGGTGAATGGGGGCAGTATCTCCCAGCATAGGAATCCCTTCCAGGGCTGTGTTAACCAAGAATGAATAAATGAATGAATGAAAGGTCTTTCCCCTTTTTTTGTTCCTAGTGGGAGCTGGTGACAGGCAGCCAGCAGCTAATTTGTAAGCTAACAGGTGGACAATGTCAAGGCAGGAATGAGGTGATTTCCCAGGAGAGCAGGCTCCCCCTGAATTTTGTTTGGAGAATCTTGAATTTCATTCTGAGCTAAAGTTACTAATAAAAAGATTAGCGGGATAGGCAGTTTTTCTGCTGCCACAGGGCTGCACAGAACCATTTGGCATGTACTGTCCTGTGATCCAAGACAGTAGTTTGTGCACTTTAAGTCCAAAGTGGATGTACAAGTCTGTTAACCCACACGGAATATGTAGCTAACAGGGGCCAGCAGCAGGGAGTGGGGCTGTTGAGTTCTCCTTTGCTCTGTCAGCCCTCTGTCTGCCCTGTTCTGTTCCACTTGGAGTTGATGCCACTGTTTTTTCTCTTTTCTGGTTCTGGACTAGGTCTTCCTTAGGATAGATAGGTAGCCCTCAAAGGACATGTATTTATTGTCTGGTGTTCTGGGAAACAAAATTGTAGCCAGTCTAATAGCAGTTTGGAAAGTTAGACTTTGTATGGGCCAACTGATGCCAAAGTGGTTGAAATGCTATGATCTAAAATGTTGATTTCGGCATTGCTTAAAATAAAAAATCAAATGTTTCATTTGGTGGCACATCTTATTCTCCCCCCTCTGCCCCAAATGGTGATTATCATTTAATCAGTTAAAAGAAATTAAAATATTTTATTTTGATATCTTGGAACTTATATCTTCCTAGAGCATTCCAAACCCAGGAATTAAAATTGTACTTCTGGGTAGAAGGTCACACAAAAACTTGCCATTTGTTTAGAGTGAGAACAAAATGCTTTAAAAAAATCTTTTGGAGTCACCAGTACATGCCCTGGGGAAGCCATCTGCCTTTCCTTCCTCCTTCCTTCCTCTAGTCCTCCTCCTTTTCCCTCCGTTCCAAGGGATCACCAAGTTAACGGAGTGTATGGACTCCTGAACAGAGTCACACATCCTCCTTTCATAACTACGCAAAATGTGGGTTATGGATTTTTTGGGAAAAACAACAGCTTTTACATATTTGTTTTCCAAATTATGTAATTTTCATGGTATTTTGACAAGGAAAACTTTCAAACAAATAACTTATCAGTCTCAGCAGCCTGATAGCCAGTTCCAGTAGGAGGTGCTGAAAGCCACTTGCGCAGTCTCTTTTTGCAGGGCCTGGGGTGCTGTCCCACGTGTCGCTTCTGTGTGACTGTTTCCTCTCGGTAATGTGGAAGAGGAATTCCGAATGGACAGCGAGTCAAAGGGGCGTCTAGGGCACCAGGCAGGCCTGGAGAAGGGGAGGAGTCCCTGAGTGCTCCCTCCTGGGTTTTTCCAAATGAGCCAACCCTGGAAGTCTGGAGACTGTAGCAGGACATGACTTAGTTCTGACCTCTCACTCAGCCTTGCTGCTTCAAGTAGAGGGGAGGTCTAGCCATCTTCCCCATCCTACCCACGTTTTCAGATGCCAGCATGGTTATTTACAAGTTCTTCTAATAAACTTATATTTAATACTGATTTTTATTGAGTAAAATGTAGCAGGCTTTTTATGTTATTCATTCTTCAGCAAAGCCTGGTAAGCATGGTGATATTATTGGGAATTTGGATTTGGATTTGAATAAAAATCTTAGCATAATTTTTAGCACATAGTAGTTCTTCAATAAATATTTTTTTTGATCCTTCCCTTTCTAGACTATTAAATCCATGAGAATAAGAACATTTTGCGGTTGTTCATTAAGGAGTCCCCAATACATAGATCGTACCTGACATATAGTATGTGTTCACTAAACACTTGCTGAATAAATGAGTGCCCAATATTTAATCTAGCTCAGTGGTTCTCAACCTTCTGGCCCTTTAAATACAGTTCTTCATGTTATGACCCAACCATAAAATTTTCTTCGTTGCTACTTCATAACTGTAATGTTGCTACTGTTATGAATCGTAATGTAAATATCTGATATGCAGGATGGTCTTAGGCGACCCCTGTGAAAGGGTCGTTCGACCGCCAAAGGGTTCGCGCCCACAGGTTGAGAACCGCTGACTAGCTCATTACCTATCAGCATGAGGCTAGCATGAGAACATTGGATTTTGAATCAGGAGCTGTGTGGTATAGTTATGTTACCAACCAGTTTTATGGCATTGAATGAGTCATTTGATATTTGGAGTCAGTGTTTCTTTTTGTAAAATAAGGGAGCTGGGTTAGATAGATGGCTTCAGTTTAAAAGTCCATAGTTTAATTATTACCTGAAACCAATTACATAGGGTAAAACACTGCTGGTGACAGAGTGGATGTATACACATTCTCTCATGTGGTTTTCATAACTATTCTGCTTCATGTCCATTTTATTAATGTTGTATCTTTGAGTGTTGTCTCAAACTTACAGAAAATGAGATTCAGAGAGAGTAAGCAACTTGGGTCACATGGCAAGTAAGTGGATTGGAAGGAACCCAGGTCATTTGACTCAAGAATCCAGAGCTCTTTCTCTATAGCACTGCCTCTTGAAACCTGAGAGTTAGGATACTTTTGGCTGCAAGTAAGACAGTGGCCAGGCTGAAGTGGCTTAAATTACAAGGACACTTATCTTACCTAAGGGGAAGTCCACAGGTAGGGTAGCCTCAGGATTGTTCAGCAGCTCTGCGTGGATCCAGGCGCTTTCTGTCTTTCCATTCTGCCATCCTCCATGCCAGCTACATCACTATAGTCATCATGATTATGAGATGGCTGTGCTAATTCTGGATGTCAGTCAGGCACTGCCAACCCACCATATAAAAGGTGGTATTTCCTCATGCATTTTTTTTTTAATCTTTTCTAGAGGCGCCATATGTCTTCTCATCAGATCCCATTGGCCAGGATCCTGACATATACCCATGCTCTCCCTAGCTGCAAAAAGTCAAGGAATGTAGGCAGCTGGTGTCTTCATTTCTCACTCTCTATTATGAGAGGCGGGCTTTGCCATTATGGGAGGAATGGAGAGGGGTGTGTGTGTGTGTGTGTGTGTGTGTGTGTGTGTGTATGTATGTGTGTGTGGTGGGGGACAGGGAATGACTGTTGGCTAAGCAAGCAAGAATGTCTTTCAGAACAGGTCAAATTGAGTTACAATAAAAATTTCAGGAGAGTTTAATAAGATGTTATCTAAGCCCTGGAAGTTGATCTTTGTATGATCAAATTTCAGAGCAAGAAAAATTATTGGATAATTCTTTGTACTTTGTGTTGTTAAATATGAGTTCTGTCCTTATTGAACTGGTGGGTCTGGGCAGCTATAAGCCATCTTGTGTAAAGCAGGCGACTCCACTCTTGCTGAAGTGGCATTAGGCAAAGTGGTTGAGAGCTTATGTTCTGAAGTGCTACTTGCTTGGGTTGGAACCCTGGCTAGTCAGGTGGCTTTGGGTAAGCCACTTTGCCTCTTTGGGCCTTAGTTTCCTCATCTGTAAAGTGGGGATAATAATGGCACAGACCTCATGGGCTTTAGTATCTGGCCCATTGTAAGAGCTGAAAAAAAAATTGACAGTTATCTTAATCTTATGTGAAGATATGTTAGAGGTAATCCTAAGTATTGGGAAGGCTTTGATTTAGAATCTAATGTCTCTAAGCCCAAACTCTATCACTTTCTGATTGTTTAAGACCTTAAACTAGTCACTGGGTCTCCTGTTTTTCATCTGGGAAATGGGCATAATAATTCCTCAATTGTCATCTTTCCCTGGGTTGTTGAGATAAAGCATGGTGTAACTGTTAAAAC